CGCCATCGCAAGTCCTTCCATGTCATCCGCCAACACGTCAAAAATTTCCCACCTTTCCACTGCGTGCGGTTATTCTTCCACTCCTTACCGAGGAGCCATATTTGTTCCAATGCAACAAAAACTTTTGAAGAAATCAGGCAGCTATAACTGGAGCGATCGAGCCCACTCAATCGAATAGATTTATAACCATCCATATATATTTATTAGACGGTGAGAGAAATGTTGATCGGAGGAGCAGAATTGTTAGTCACAATATGCAGTTGCAATTTGGGAGCTGTTGCGTGAATAGTGTGAATGGGAAAGAATTATGTGAAGGATGGCTGGGTGATTCTGACGGTGACAAGACCACAAGCACCGCGTTGCTCCTGTCCATCATCAAGGTGATCTTGCCTCTACTCGGACTGCAGGTGGGGAATGCGGTGACCATTGCTCTGCAATTTGCTGAGCAGATGCAAGACCCACTGTTTCAGTCTCTCCAACTCCACCAGCAGTTTGGTAGCAGCAGGAAACAATGACGTTCTTGATTAGACTGATTTTAAGCTGCAGATATCGCAGTTCCCACTTCCTCTCCCTTCAGCATATTATTGTCCATTTTACTAGGTGTACAATAAGAAATCGCATTTGACATACTTCATTAGAAGCTGTTTTCGATGTTGAGATGGCCTGATTTACAAATGAAAGAACATCGACCTACATACGTGAGATAAATTTGCCTTTTAATGAATCCTTAGCAATAGGGTGGCAATTCATAAACGGAAGTATCCAAACTCATGACTGAAGTTGTACTTCCTGCAAATAGAAGGTGCAACTTTACCAGTAATAGCTTCATTAAGACACTGTTAAAATCTACTAAAGACATGCTGTAGACTTTGCCAAATGGTTTATTTTTAAACAGTTTCGAATGCCTGCGATTGCTTTCGTGTTCCTCTCTTCCACCTTTGCCTCCATGCATCTGGAAGGGGCGAATCAGTTAAACGAGGACATTTTTCATTTGATAAGTGTTGTAACTATGTACACACAATCGAGGGTTAACAGATTATGTCCAGTCGCAAAGTTGCCGCACGCTGATCGCTTTCCACCATGAAGGTGCATTCGTACAAGCATGTATTGAATATTTGCAATTTTGTTTGGTTTGCGCCTTTGTCGGAGATTTGCTTTTAAGTGCATCAACATTCTCGACGAATTGGTCAATTGACACGGTTAATTTGAAACATTCGATTTGGACTGAGCCCTAATAAGTTTATTGTCTACGGCGAGACGAATGGGAGCTTGTACAAATTACTACCGAATGAGGCTCATACTCGCCTTACTTTGCTGACGATGAATAGTTCAAATAGGAGTGAAGGAAGCAGGGAGGCAATATTGAGTTCCACGTAATTTTATGCATTATTTATGCTTTGGGCTAATCTGAGCAAGCAAACACTGAACGCAACCTAGATTCGGTCCTAGCGCTCATTAGCACCAATTCACAACACAAAACACGTCTACCGTTACCTCACACAGTCGCTTTAGGATGTATCGAATTCGGCAATTCTAGACTTTGTAATGTTTGACTTTACAAGGTGGTCATCGCGTTTTCTTTACTTCAGCTTCAATGCAGCATCTTCGGAGAGATTGTGGACTACAGGCAAAAAGCGAAGCGCTCAACGGCTAAAACATCACTAGCATATGTGACACAACCTGTGCATGTATAGTGCCCTACCTCAACGTCAAGCGGTGACATTGAACACGACACTGCAGATGAAGTCGTAAATGACTTATTAAACCACTTGTTCTGCTGGTATTTTATGCAGAATAGACTTCTTTTCTG